GGGTGTATTACTGGTATTCCTTTTCATAATTATTCTAAAGCTGCCAACTTGTCCAGACAGTTAGGCAAGATGTTAACCACAAATTGGTCCAGTGAGCTTGACGAGCTCACCACTCAGCTATGGTTAGAAATTTTGAATGTTAGCTCCAAGAAGGTAGAGATGCTCTCCGTAGCTCAAATAGCTGAAGCTGTGTTAAACGCCACCAAAGCCTGGTCAGGTGTAGGTGTCATAGGAATATTGCTAATTGTGGGCCTCCTCCTGCTTGGGAGGAAAGTCTGTTCCATACAAAAACAGCAACGGGGAGAACGGAAGGTCCTGTTGCAGGCCATGGCAGCGCTAGAGGAAGGCATCTCCCCTAGAGTATGGCTTAATATGCTGGATCAGTAGTCAAGGACGGGTAAGATCGGGAGCTGCGCATATCAACCTAAGACAGGGCGCAGACCTAAGCTGTCTGTTGCCTGAGGACGGGTAAGAATGCCGCAGACTCCGGACGACCTAAGACAGGCATGATCCCGACAGCCCTTTGGTTATAAAACAATAAAGGGGGAGATGTGGGGGCCCGGCCTACGGCCGAGGCTGAGCCCCACCTTAACTGGACAACGCCCTAAAGATGGCGCCTGCTTCCTAGACACCACCCTTCCTGGCCCTACAGCTCAGCACATAAGGAAGTCTCCATAATTGGTTTGTCCCCATTTCCGTGCTCGTGCTCATAGCATGCTTTTCACATGCTTCCAATAAGACTGAACCTGGCGCGTGATCAGTCAGCTGATTGGTTGGGATATGCTATATAAGCTGCTGCCCTGGAGGAAGTGGTGGTGGTTGTTTTTTGCTTTTGCCTTTCGCTAGATGGATGCTCGGACGCCCATAATAAAGATTCCTAACGAACCAGGCCTTTGGTGATCGTTCTCCTGCCATCACCCTAGATGGCGGGACATGATATATATGGAACTATATATATATACTATTTTCTTAATTATTCTGTAAATCTGAAACTACACTAAAAATATTGTCAATTAATTGTTTTAAATGTGCTTAGTATCTTAGTACATAACCCAGCAATTGCACTCACGTGCATTCATCCCATACAAAAACCTTATACAATCTTAGCATCTTTATTCACAATAGCCAAAAACTGGAAACAACAAAGATGTCCTTCAACTAGTGGCTGGTTAAGTAAACAGTGGTACATCCATACCATGGAATACTATTCAGCAATAAGAAGGAACAAACTATTCAATGCAACAATTTGTATGAATCTCCAGAGAATTATGCTGAGTTAAAAAAAAAAGCCAATCCCAAAAGGTTACACTGTATGATTCCATTTATATAACATTCTTGAAATGACAAAATTCTAGAACTGGAGCACAGATTAGTGGTTGCCAGGGGAGTTGAGGGAGTAGGTGTGGTGGGAAGTAGGTGTGGCTATTAAGGGGATAACCTGAGGGATCCTTCTGACAGAAATGTTCTGTATGGCAATATTCTGTTTGTGATATAGTACCAAGGTTTTGTAAGATGTTACCATTGGGGGAAACTGGGTAAATGGTATACTGCATTTGAATCTACAATTATCTCAAAATTAAAATTTATTTAAGAAAAAAACAGGCAAAATGTAGGCTCACCCTCCTTACCTCAAATGATCTGCCAGGTTGTCCTGAAACCAGGGCCGGGAACCTCTGGGGTGATTTCCCATTTGCTAGCATGTTCACCCTGGGTCTCAGCCCACCTTCCAAAGCTCGAGTGTGGGGGGTTTCTTTGTGAGCTGTGTTCAGAATGAATGCAGCCTCCAGTATAGGGAAAACTCAACAGCTCCACAGAGTCACCAATAAATCCTAAAAGGACAGTATCCATGTCATTATTGTCATCCATATTCACCCTCACAAAGTTTAGCAACCCCCACTCTGAGAGTTAGAGTGGACTATGGAAACAGTCATGATTGGAGTCAAATTAATGAGTTCAGAGTACTCTTTGAATGGCTCCTCCAGGGGCTTCATACCTTACACAACCAGACCATCCCTCAATTCAAGGTTCAAGGCATGTCTGGGTTTGTTGGGAGGGTGGAAATGGGGCAATGAATGCTGCAGAAGCCCCATGGGGTGGGCAGGGGAAGGACTTGTCCATGGGGATGTGGTAGGTGGAAGTGGAGGCAAGAAACCTACAAACCTGGTAAACTGAATGAAAGGTATCTCTTCTTCCTTCTTTAATTATTTTGCCATTTTAGGATGGAAAGTCCCCCTTAAATTCTTCTATAGGAAGCTCTTAGCCTCCTCTTTCCAGAAGATGGTTCCACATTAATAATATTATTTTTTAAATCAACAAATTGGGGGTGGGGGTGTACGTGGCTATTAACTTATGCAAAAAAGTATTTGACACAATTCAGCAGTCATTAATAATAAAAACTCAAACTAAAATTAGGGAAGAAGCATATCACTTAAATATTACAAAAAATCATTTACAAAACACAGCCCTGAAATACTATGCTAAAAAGTAAAATGATGAAGCTCTCACTACTAAAATTAACAAGATAGGGATGTCTGATACAACTCAAAGTTGTTTTGCTGGCTGTAGCTCACCCAAGATAAATCAATCAGAATAAATATTGCAAAGACATAAAAATGTAGCTTTCTTTGCCAGTAATGATTTTATACATAGAACATACCAGATTCTGCTAGAATTCACAGGGTAATTTGATAAGGGGCTGGATATAAGATAAAATTGTAAGAGCAGATAGTTTTTCCTCTATAATAGCAACAATCAAATGAAAACAGGAAAAAAAATTTGTAATGATAGCAAGAAATATATAAAATATGTAAAGTCAACTTTTTAAGGAACTGGACCTATACAATTCTAAAAGTTTTTAAAAACTGACGAATATAAAATAGTCACAGACATACCATCTCCGTGGATAAGATTTAATAGAAATGTCAACCCTCCCAAAAGCGTTAATGTAAAAAATAAATTTTAAAAAAGACAAAAACGAAGCTCAGTAATAAGATGGTGTATATAAAATTTTGTGCAATACAGCTAAAAAGATTCTTAAAGGGAAATTCATGCACTCAAATTTTTTTTAGAAAGAAGGCTAAACAATTAATGAAATAACACCCAATTTAAAAAGGTAGATAAAAGGAAAATAGCACAGATAAGAGCAGAAATTAAAGAAATAGAAAACAAAGGTCCATCAGAGAGGATCAACTAGGCCAAAAGTTGGTTGTCTGGAAAGGCTAATAAAATTAGCAAACGTCTAGGGAGACTGATTCGGAAAAATCTTAGCACACACAGTATTATGACTTGACAAGACACAGCAAGGAATCTAAAAACTGACTACCCCGGAAGCCCCCTTCCCAGACCCGCATAAATTCCCATTCACCAGATTCTTTTAATTCCTCACCAACTGACCCTACAAACTGACAATTTATCATTCCCGAAAGCCAACAAACCCATCACCTCAAAATCACTGATGACTGTCACGCCATAAATCCTCGTGCACAAGCTTTTGCGCCGCGCGCCAACAAGACTTTAAACAGCCTCTGAGGGCCACTTCCGTTTCCTGTCCTCACGCCGACACTGTCCCTTCTGGGGCTGTTGGTCTCGCACACGAGCGTAAGGGGTGTGAGGCTGTGGCCCACTCGCCCCGAACGAGGCGCAATTTTAGGTCGGGGGAGACTTTGTCCGGAGTGGCATTGCCGGGCGGGCGAGGAACATGGCTGCGTCAGGCGTTCCTCCACGGGGGCAGCCATCTTGGCGTCCATTCCGTACACTGGGCTGTTCCACAGAAGGCGGGGGCGGGGGGCGTTCAGGAGGAGACACCTTCGCAGGGCAAGCTTCTGAGGAGCTGGTCTTTGACACTGGATCCTATAGGTCTGTGAAAAGTTTACAGAAGCAGAGGTGCCAACCCCTATCCTCGTGGGGAGGGGACATGTGTCCTGATCTGCAAGGGAGATACCACTGCGTGGGGGAGTCAGAACACATTTTCCTCCCGGTTGATGTCACTCCAAGGAAAGAAGAATTTAGGATGGTATAGTCCCCCTCCTTGCCGAGGCGGGAGGGCTAAAATAGATGGAATTAGAGTGGTACAGTCCTCTCTTTGGAGATACCACAGAGAAGAGGGGGAAAAGTCATGTTAACGCGGATCCCCTCCTGGGTGAGACCACTGGAAAAGAGTGGGGAGGAGTCAGGGTGATAAAATCGCCCCCTTTTTTAAAAGTGCAAATGTCATACAATATTATATTACTTTCAGGTATACAACATACTGATTTAACAATTATATACATTACGAAATGCTCACCATGATAAATGTGGTTACCATCTGTTACCTTACAAAGGTATTACAGTATTAGTGACTACATTCCCAATGCTCTGCCTTTCATCCCCTAACTTACTTATTTTATAACTGGAAGTTGGTACAATCTCTTCTTGATGTGCTGGAATTGGTATGGAGGTGACTTGAATCCCCCTCAAACTCCACTACCCCCATTACTAAACTAAAATGATAGTAATGAGGAATCATAATAATAGCTATTGATATGGGCAGCTAATGTTTTTCAGCAGATTGTCAACAGAAAAATATTTAGAAAACGTTAAAAGCATCTTTCAATGAAAGTACATCTCTAAGACATGCCCCCAACCAGGTTGCAGCCACTTAGCCTCAGGAGCTGCTACTTAACTCTTTGAAGAGAAGAGACGATTCTGTTCGCCTGTGAACTCCACATTTTTCAGAACCTAGTCCAAGTATACCCTTCTGCGGGAAGCCTCTGACAAGAGGCTGAGGGCTCTTCCCCTTACTGAAGGTGTTTCAAACACAACAGGTAGGCCCTGGATAAACTTTGGTATAGATGGCCAGGTACCCTAAGGACATGCAGATCCTCTCTGGGACTCCTGCTCCCCTACAGTATTTGTGAATTGAATGGAAAACAGAATGGCAAATGTGAGGACATTGCCAGAATACACCTACTTTTACAGAAATTTCCAAAACTTATTGTCATGACTTCTGGTCAACATCTCAAATCCTAGAATCTTCTAACTTCCACCATCAATGCCTCCTGGGCTGTTCTCAAGCCTGGGCCTCTCTTAACTCTACCAACATCTATGTTGCACTCTTCTGATCTGGATTCATGTTCTCTATTAATGATTCCATCCTCAGTGTCCCCATATTTTGGCCCTGAATCCAAGCTGCAACTAACTATTGTGCCATATGTGCCCATCTTTTATAGACTGAGAGATTAGGCATATGTCAATTTTCCACTATCAAAGCCTCTCTGGTCTAGATCTCAACTATTAGACCCTTGTTTACTTTTCTACTATCAATGTCCTTTTGATTAAACCTCCAGAACACACCTCTGTTCAAGTTCAAACCAGAAGGGAAATGATAGTTGTGGAGGAACAGAGGCCCAAGTTCAAGAACTGGACCTGTGGACCATTGAAGATAGAAGACTTTTTGCAGGTCTCTGCTTACAGCCTGTAAACAAGATGGTGATTTCTGGAAAAATCATTAACCGATGTTTTCAGTTCAAACCAGGGAGACTGACGGTGTTGAAAAGTTAGTATTTTCCTAATATGTAGACACGGAATAGTTAATCGAAGCCCAGGGTTCAAGGTCAGAAGTGATGGTTTGCCATCTCAGAGATTAGACTAGAAAAGACTGTGGCTTCCATTTTGTGTTCTCTTCTCAAATTACTCCCTCTAGGAGAAACCAGCTGCTATATCATAATGACACTAAGACAGCCTTTGAAGAAGCCCATGTGCCAACCATTCCTGCCAACAGCCAGTAAGGACCTAGCCCCTAACCAGCGGGACCTCTAGCCTATAGCACTACGAATGAGCCATGTTGGAAGTGAAACCTCCAGCCTCAGCTGACTGTGACCCCAGTTGACAACTTGACTGCAAAATCAGGAAAGACCCTGTGGCCCCTCAGCCAAGCCATTCTCAAGTACTTCACCCCCCAGACACTGTGAGATAATTAATATTTGTTTTATACTTATGTGTTTAAGGGTATTTCATTATGCACCAGTTGGTAACTAATACAGGAATTTAAAGTTGTGGTATTTGTTCATCACGGATTTGTGCACTAATTTTGACTTTTCTAAATATCACACTACAATCTTTTTTTATCTAGATTACTGAGCTTTTTGGTGTCCCCTTAAGTTGTGTACTTTTAGGTGAGCACCTCACTTCCTCACTCTAGTCCCAGCCCTGCTGAGAAACCTTGTTCTCTAACATCATAGACTATCAGAAACTTTGCTTTGAAGTATGTCAGGTAAGAATAAGACATCCCACGCTTGCCTGGAAGATCCAAGTCGCTTTGGCACAGAGAAGCAGACTCGGCTTGAATCCAGGTTCAGAGCTTCAAATAAGGAGTATATGGAGTGAACATATCACATCTATTTTTACTTTAGTGTTTCTTAATAAAAAGAACCTTATATCCACTTCACAGTCCAAACTTGACATTGACCCTTTTATATACCAATGTACTTTGCTTTGGGCTAATGGAAACAGTGCCTCACTTAAATTTTAACTGAATTCCTCTCTTCCCCGAAACCCTATAGTAATCCCATTCTTTCTCTGTTTGGTGAGACTAAGTTGATCAACCATCCCTGTTGGCCCAGGACTGAAGGGTTTACTGAGACAAAGGACATTCAGTGCTAAAACCAGGAGAGTCTCAAGCAAACTGGAACAAGTTGGCCACCCTAGGTGAGATCCCCCCAGTTCCGATGTTGTGTGGTTTCCTTTGCTGCAGCAAGTTAATAAACCCATTTCTGTTGGACTACAGGTGTGAACCTGGTAGTCTTTATCAGATGGGCTTTGTCAAGGTCATTAATATTGGAAGGGTTCACAGAGGTTAGTTTGAGATCAGTCCTAGCATACACTGATGGTAGGAAAATTAACAGGCCTGAGTCTGAGGTCCCAATCAGAGGCGCACTGATGGAAGAACGGTTAATTGAAGACTCAATGCTAAACCATACCAGAAAAGCATTGATGGTGAAAGAAATCAGAGCTCTTGATTAGAGGTCAGACTACAGCAATACTGATAGGGTTAAGAATTGGTCCAGAGATGGTGGAAATGTTAACAGGGGCCTGGATTTTAGATTTTGACAAGAGTCATTTATAGTGAATTAGATAATAAATGACCAAGTTCGAGGACCAACCAGAAGAGCAATGGTGGTGGAGGAGTTAATAGAAGCCAGAAATTTGAGCTCTTTTGTCTAGACCAAGTCTGAGGGGTTGTAGATAGATGGTGCAGCTGGCCAATGACTGCATATGAGAGGTGGGATCTGGTTTCTGGTAGCCAATGGAATGAAGCAGCAGCCTCTTACCGAGGAGAAGACCCTGTTGCTATGTACAGAGAGAAGCAGGGTCTAGCCTGAGTTGCTACAGACAGTTAGCCAATGACTGCAGAAGATGGGTTTTAGCCTCTTCAGCCTATGATAAAGTATTGCTAGGTAGTAACCCCCATTCCCACATGAAATGAGGCAACCAAAGTGGTACCTGAGAGGCTATAGACAGAAGGAGCAGTTAGCCAATGGCTGGGTATAAGAATCTAGCTCTGGCTTCCCTAGTCTGATGAGGCTGCCAGGTCTGTAAATCAGCAGAGGCCCCCACTGTCCAGTGCAGGGAGTGGGTACGGCCTAGCCTGAGGGGGTACAGAGCAATAACACGGCTGTGTCAAGGAAGTGGAAGTGGGTGGGGGTGAGGCCTGAGGTTGCTTTGGACAGATGGTATAGCTGGCCAAGGGCTCTGTGTGGGAAGGAGGCAGGCTTTAGTCTCCATGGCCAATAAAATGCAAATATCCGTGTTACTATGCAGAAATAACTTTGCTGTTCCAAATTATACCAGTAAGAATGAATCCTTTCATGCTTGCCCAGAGAATCTGAATCAATTTGACACACAACAGCAGCCTCAATTTCCAACCCAGCTGGAAGAGACAGAAGAAACTTAGGATGTGAGGCTGCCGACAGATGACACATTAAAAAGAAAAAGAAACAAATGAAATTTAATAATATATTTTACTTAAACTGCATTTGCAAAATTTGTCACGTCAATATGTGTAAGGCTGGAGGCACCGGAGGGAGGAGTGAGCACGTCGGACACTAATGACATGCCAAAGTCCCCGGCTGTTGCCCCCTCCCAACCTGAAAAATGTGCCTTGGGCTAGCCAATCCTCGCACTGCTGTAAATCTAAGCTCTGCCTCCCCCTACCTTTTTTAAAAACTCACTGCCTGTCTACTTACGCATGACCTCTCCAGCCTCTATTTCCATAGACTGGGAACATCGCCCGGGAACTGCGCTCAAATAAACTACCTGGCTCTTTGTTGCCTCTTTTCACCTGCTTATTTTGGTTAGAATTTATCTTATATTGGCATTTATCTTACATTTGGTGCCGAAAAACCCGGGAAAGAGTGTGAGCACAGGGCCCCAACCAGCCACTGGTGGCCCTTCTCCCTCCTTCCCCGACCCGGGACCTCAGCCTGCTCTCCGCTGCATGGACTATTTTCCGGTGAGTCCCTCAGTTTCCCCCGGTCTGTTTCCCTTCCTAACTCTGTTTCACCTGGTCCATCCAAAATCGTAGCTACGTCCAGGTTTGGGCATCTAGCCCATCTGTTGCGGGCATCTGGGATACCTGTCCCTGGCCCTGCAGTGCGGGAGACATCCCTACCCCAGGCCCCAGGACGTCTGCTGGCATCTAGCCCACCCCTGGCCCTGCAGTGTGGGAGATGTCCCTCACCCAGGCTCCCAGGACATCTCCCCG